CCAGAAAAATAGATTTCTCATTTTCTTGAGACTCATGCACTTCCTCCAAAATTGCACCAGGTTCATTATTTGTGAACCCATTGACCAGATAATGGAAGGTAACATCATTAGGAATGCACTTGTTCTTTAGCATTAGTTCAAAAAAGGAGACTGCTTTTGCAAGTTTACCTTCCTTGCAAAAGTTTCCAATAAGTATGCTGTACGTGACTACATTTGGCTCCATACCACAAGATTGCATCTCTCTGAAAGTTTTTACAGCTCCACGGGAATCTCCCTTGTGGAAAAACCCATATATCAAGGAGGTGTACGTGACCACATTTGGCTTGCATCCCTGTTTGATCATCAGTTCAAACAAATTCAGAGCAGCATCCAAGTTATGCTGTTTGACATACCCATCAATTATTGTTGAATAAGTGAACTCATCAGGATGATGATGATGCACTTCCCTCATTTTTTTAAAGCATGACAGTGCATCCTTCATCATTCCAAATTTGCAGAAACCCTTAATCATGGCATTGTACCCCACAACACCAGGGTCTAGACCCTGGTCAATTGTTAACCCAAATAGTTTCTTTGCCTCGTCAAGGTCGCCATTTCTGATTAACCCATCTACCAGAGTGGCATAAACAAATGCATCTGGTGGTATATTTTGGTCAAGCATCTGAGCAAGCAGCAGCTTGGCAGTAGAAAGCCTCCCTCTCTTGCAAAGGCCACTCATCAAAACATTGAAAATGCCAGCATCAGGCACTACTCCATTTTCCATCATTCTGTCCCGGACTGTCAATGCAGTATCAACTTCCCCAGAAACAACAAGTCCATGGATGAGAGCTCCATAAGAAACCAAATCAGGTTTGTGTCCCCTTTCTGTTATCTTAGTAAATATATCCAATGCCCTACAGTGTTCCCCTTTTCTGAAATATACATGAAAAAGAGGAGTATAACTAAACTTATTTGGCACTAATCCCCTTTCCATTGCGTTGTTTAAAAACTGCTCAGCTTCCTCAACCTTCCCATCCTTACATGAACTATTAATCAAAATATTGTAGGTCGTAATATCTGGCTCACAACCACACTCAATCATCATTGTTACAGACTCCACTCCTTTAGCTGAGCTACCGTGTTTACATCTAGCATCAACAATACTATTATGTACTTGAACATTGATAGTCAAGCCTCTCTCCTTCATTTCCATCAAAAGTCGATCAATCGCTTTAAAGTTTCCTTCTTTGCAGTACCCATTTATCATAGCTCCATAAGTTTCCAACGTGGGCAAAAACCCCTTCAACTTCAACTCTTTAAAAAGCCGATTAGCATTTT